CCTCCCCTCTCCCTTCCCCATTCACCACTCCCCTAAAACCATGCTACTCACAGCCTGGGGAACGTTATCCAGCGCTTAGTGAGCGTTACGGAGCGCTTAGAGAAATATTACGCATGAGATGCTGTAGTATCTCAGAATATACGAGGCTCTGTGCATAAAAGGACAGAATATACGAGGCCAAGCCGAGTCGAGCTGAGTTTAGTAGTTGCCACTTTTTATGTATTTCTGCATATCTGTACAAGTGCAAAAACCCATATTGTAGCGATCCGTATTTTTGTATGTATGTATGTGTGTGTGCGTGTGTGTCCGGGTATTTCAGTTCGGCAACCAAGCAAGCTTTGACCTTCAAATTTTTCTGGTGGATTCGCTGTCCTGGAATTTGGTACTAACTTTCACGCGCATCTGTGCCCATGCGCGGACACATGAAATTTTTGGTGGAAAAATTGCTAGCGCAGGTACCAGAACAGCTAGGTCAGTTTCAGTGGATAACCGATCAAGCGAGGATTTTTCATTTTCCTTCATGCAAAATTTACGCTGGGTTACGATAATGAATACGCAAGTTAAATGTAAAGCAACAATCACTCATATATTTAACGGCCTGATTTCTTCAAATTTAGCGCGAAAATGCATAGTCGCCCCGGCAAGCCTTGTATGTCACTGTCTAAGCTGACATCCTGCTGTTTTGACAGACTTTTTATTTGTATGTTCCAGCTTTTCAGAGCTCGCCGTAATTCATAGTCAGATGAAGTGGATAGCTTTGTCGACAGCTGAGCAGTTAACGTTTTAGAGTTAGACACCCCCACCCGCCCCCTCCTCTCCCCTCCGCCCGTTTTCTTTAATCTTCCCTTTTCCTCGCTGCAGTCATCTGTGGAGCCCCAGCTCTGCTTTCGATACCTTTTTCATCTGTCATCTTTAAGATCGGTAGACGGCTTAGCTTTTCCTGATGGATTGTTCCCGTTCTTTAAAAGCCGACTGCGGTGTTTTAAAAAGTGAGTTTGAATTTGCTGCCTAGTTTGAAAGGGTGCTTAATTTTAGGCATTACCTCAGATCAATGAAAATGTGAGTAGCACAGAAGATGGGGAAAAAGGTGATTATTTGCTACGTGAATTGTTGCATATCAGTTCTGGACGGCTTGCACAACGCCGTGGTATCGCAGGGCGTCAAGTTGTTGCTCCATCAACACCACCACTAACCACTGCGGCACGTTTAAAATCATCGGGGACTGGTAGTGGCCCAAGAGCGCGTGGTCTGCGCCGTCCGGATGGTTTTGGAGCAGCAGCAGAGGAACGTCAGCGTAGTTCGCAGCGTTTGTGTACTTTGGCGTCTTCTTCACGTACAAGTGTTATGTCAGCGCAAGTGCATCATCGTACGCAACCAGTTGCTGGTGCCACTGGTACTAGCGATGGCACATTCAGGTAATTTGACCCTCCTTCATTAAAATTAGTTATAACTTAAATATTGCATGAGGTCGTTTTTTTATCGGCTCCATCAAAGCTATCCTTTCCTTTTTTCGCGTTTGCCCATGTTCTGCATAATTCATAGTGACTAGGACGACGCTCCAGTGTTAAGACATCGTTTATGCTAATTTTTTGACTGGTGGAATGAATTTGTTTCAAATTTGTGCAATGTAAAAACTTTACTAGTGAAAAGCCTTAAATTGCCGAAAGTTATGTAGGTGGATGCTGGTATGAACATTGGTCTGGTCGCCTTTTCCCGCTGCACTAATGTTCATTTTCCCAAAAGTATTCTCTCTAAACACTCGTTCAGTCAGGAAAGAATTTTGTATTATTTGTGCGTCAGAAAATATGTGAGACTATATTTGAAGGGATTTACCGGATGCGAACTGATGTACTATATTTGTAAGGCAAGAATGATGTTTTTGAACGGTGGTGTAGGGTGTGAATGGTGTGAAAAAGACATAGGAAAGCGAAATATAAGAAACTTGACTTTTCCTCTTTCAAAGAAATTTTCGTCGGTATTTATGAGGATCTGATTTTGGACACCATTTTCTAAACAAATAAAATTTTTGGATTCCCACATTTTGCTCCTACTATTAAGCAAGCAAGCACTTTTCGTTTTCAAAGCTTGCTTGAAAGCTACTGTGAAAATCGGCCGAGTCTCTGGGGTGTACTGATTGCACTATCATAATTTCGCTGCTAAAACTAATTCACTGGTTCACTGGGACGGTAGCATCTCAACGACACATCTCGAGTCACGAAAAAATATCACATATACGACGAGACTCTTTCACTGTTGAGTCACTGTTCAAATACTCATCGTTCAGAACAGAAGCGGTTGAATGTGCGGGCTGTTAGTACATGTGATATTCGTACACTTTTTGCTTTTGCCTTGAATTTTTTAAAATGCGTCACAGGGCAGCTTTTACAGTGAAAATAGAGTACAAAATTTTCTGAACCAATATTTCAAGTTTTGTGTTTTCTGAAAGCGCTTGATGACGGCTGGTTTGTAAGACAAGCAACGATTGACTAATGCTTCAACTAACGAATGAAAATGACTTTCACAATAGAACGGGATTACTCCATTGACAATTTTTATTTTCTCAGGCTGGGGCCAGCTATTTACTTATACACATACACAAGTGACAGAAATGCGCACATAAATGTGTGTAACTCTCCTACAAATTTTCGACCCGTACACCTCGTCTTAGCGTGAATATTGCAGCAGACTAGACACTGTCCAGGTACACGCTTTGGTAGCTTCTGTCATATTAAAACGGCGTCATACTGCTTAAGCTTGCGTAGTATTAACCTGTTTCAGTGCTTTAACAGGAGCAGAGACTGAACAAGTAGAGGAGGAGCCGCTGTGGTACCATCCCAATATAGTGGCAGATTAGAATGAAAGTGGACCCCCCAAAATTTTTTCCGCGCAAATTCATAACTCCGGGTTCTGAGATGCTAGAAAGCTGAAATCTTAGGGTAATGTTCCCCGTCCAAGTAAGTGCTAATGAGCTCAAATCCAGCCCCCGGGTAAGCGTGGTGCCTGCGTACGGACTACCCAAAATTTTTCCCGCGCAAATTCATAACTCGGGGTTCTGAGATGCTAGAAAGCTGAAATTTTAAAGGAATGTTCTCCGTCCAACTAGGTATTAATGCACCCACATCCATCCCTCGGGTAAGCGTGGTACCCACGTGCGAGCCTGCTAAAATTTTTTTCGGGTAAGTCCATAACTTGGGGATCTGTGAAGTTAGAGAGCTGAAATCTTAGGGGGCGTTCCCTGTCCAAGTGGGTATTAACAAGTTCAAACCCTGCCCGCGGGTAAGCGCGGTACCTACGTACAGGCCCGTGAAGGCTCCTTCCGGGTAATTTACTTACTCGAGAACGTGAGAAGCTGGAAGACTA